ACGCCGACCGACCGCGAAAATCAAAATATCGAAACGTACTAAATCGGTATAAAAGACAACGCGAAAACTCGGAATGAAGCAGTCTTCCGAGGCACTCCGCTGAGCAGAGCTAAGACTCCGACAGCAGCAGGTCCTCGCGAACACCGCTGCCTAGCACACCGCATCCTAGACTTCCTCGATATCGCTCCGCCGACTCATTGGATTCGTAGAGTCGACATCCTCATAGACTTGTTGGATTCGTAAAGTCTACATCCTTGATTACCGATCCGTCGACTTGTTGAATTCGTAAAGTCGATGATATCCACGAAACCGCGCCGTCGCCCCGGAACCGATCTCCGCGGCGCACCGCTGCATTGTTCGGCCGCTCGCCGAACTCCGATGTATCACGACTCGCTGTCACGTAACGCATTCGAAGCCGTATTTACTCGTCGAGTAACGGATCTCGTCGCGCGACCAAAATTAAAGACCCAAGCATAAACATCTCGCCGCAAGCGCGAGACAATCGGCGCGTCATCACACCGACCGCGTCCCGCGGCCGCCAGCAGCCCCAGCGTTACCAAATCGTCAGCCGCAGATATAAACAAGCTCGCACGACGAGCACAAAAACTCGAACATTAAACCAACGGCGTCGAGACAAGTTGTAAATACTCATTGTAAATAGCCATTTAACGTAGAATAGACATCATCTTAATATCTACTCCATACTTATCTGTCTTCACACTTATTTACTTCTGTCCGAATCCGGACCACACCGACTCGCAGCCTATTCCGCACCGAACGCAAAATAGCGTTACAATATTATACGACAATAGAGATTAAAGAACTTGATTCCAAATAAAAGAATTTCCTGTTTTATTAGATTTCTAATTACGAATTTAAATCAGTGAAACTCACCTTTGCGCCAACTCTGCCAGGCCCGAGCCGAATCCTCCGGCGCGGCATTCCCCAAGACATCGTATCCCCTAGAGCCGCATGACTGCGTCTTCTCTATTAGATCTCTGTGACAAAAATTAAATTTAATTTAGTATCAATTAGTAATTTAATAAATTAGTATCAAATAGTTATACGCGACAGCAAGACGGTGAGAAGAAATTGTCGTAACGGTACGTTCGAATTCTTTCCCAATATGCAATAAAAAATAATTAAACGATAGCCGAATAAAAAAGTAATAATTCCCAATTAATTAATAGGCGATGATAATAATGTCTGATCCGTATAATAATAACAACCGTATAATAATGTCCGGTAATATCAATTAATTACACACGACAGCAAGACAAGGTAAAGAAATCGTCGTAACGGCACGCTCGAGTTGCTTCCCAATACATAATAAAAATAGTTAAATGACAACTGTATAAAGAAATAATAATATTCGAATAATAAATAGATAATAATAATATTTGATCGGATCATTGAGGAACTCGATCGCGACGTTTCTCTATCTAACAAGTAAAATGTAAATGAAATGCGGTAATTACCTGCTACGGTAAAGCCCATAACACTTGCTCACGTGATAAGTACGCGTCTCAAATCGTGTTAATTATTGCCTTAATTGTGGCGAAGTCAAAGTGCGATATTAAAAATCGGCGCGAAATAATTTAGAAAATAACGCGACAGCTCTCACGATACGTCCGCCTCGGCGGCTGATAGTGTTATGGCGTGACGCGCGCGACGCGTGCGCTCCCAGTGAGCCCCCCCCCCCCCCCCC